CACCTCTGGGCTGAGAGTTCTCTAAGAACAGACAACCTGCTCCTGTTATCTTGGCAAAAGCTATGGCTGGTGGGCCTTGGGGTGTTTACAAAAAGAACCTTCCCCCTTACAGAGCTGCAACCCCATTGATAAGGCAGGGATGAGAGGAGCTTGCTACACACTCTGCCAGTGGCTTCTGGGGGGCTTGGGGAGAGGGCTCTGATGGCAAAGCCAGGCCTCTGTTTTCTCACTTGCTGGCTCTGTGGCTTTGGAAAGATCACTAGTTAAAATATATTAACCCATTTTTTTTGTTTTTTATTTTATTTTCTTCTTTCTCTCTCTTTTTTTTAATTTACACACAAGGCTGCTCAGAACCCTGGAGGTTTGAAATTTCTCTGTCTGGGGTCTGGCAGCTCTGGAATCAACTGAAATTGGCTGTCACTATCACTAGTGAGCAAGAACACACAGGGTCAAGTTCTGGCTCAGGAGGTCTGTCTGTCTTTCTTTCTTTCTTTTTTTTGAGACAGAGTTTTACTTTGTCGCCCTCGATAAGTGCTGTGGTGTCACAGCTCACAGCAACCTCCAAATCTTGGGCTTAGGCGATTCTCTTGCCTCAGCCTCCCAAGTAGCTGGGACTATAGCTGCCCACCAGAATGCCCAGCTTTTTTTTTTTTAATTGCAGTTTGGCCAGGGCTGGGTTTGAACCTGCCACTCTCGGTATATGGGGCCAACACCCTACTCACTGAGCCACAGGTGCTGCCCGGCTCAGGAGGTTTTAAGATGATAACAGGAAAGGCAATTAAATTTATCATCTCAAGGAAAAGGCGACTGTGACTACTCATGGTTGTTAGGAAGGCCTTCCTAGGAAAGGGAAGATGTCAGTTGTCCTGTCCACCCTGGCATCTGAGGCCTTGGTCAGCATCGCTTCTTTCCATCTTCATTCAACACATATTTATTGAGATTCTATTGTGTGAAGTCAAGTACCTGCCCTGTGCTGATTCCTATTACTTACTGGGCTTTTTATTTTTATTTATTTATTT